GTGATGTCTGGCTTCCAAAAAGCTGTTCCCACTGTTATGTTTCTGTGATGTACATTTTTCCCTGAAGAACCTTATTATCAGCAGTGTAACTACATACAATTCCAACGAGATATAGAGATAAATGTTAAAATGCATCTCAGACGTGAATATATTTGCTTTGCTTAAACTTTACCCGTACAAATTACTTCTAAAAAGAAATATATATTTCCATTTAGAAATAATTTGTGTGTGTGTGTGTGTATACCCAAACAAATTAATTCTAAAAGGACATATTGTCACAAAGCAAGGCCAGACACAACAGGTAAGTGCAAAACAGGATGGTTTATTGACTGGGTAAGTGGATGACTGGAATAGGTGAGTGAAAGGCAGGTGAAAGTCAACACAGTGAAAGGTTCCAGGGTGCTTATCTGAGTTCTGACGGAGAGGATCGTATGCCGGTTACGTTGGAGATCGTGGAGCCGTTTCCACGGAGTCGTTGGAGGATCGTGGGAGGAACAGCAGGTAATCCGTTCTAGGAGAATTTGGCAGAGAGAGTCCAGAGTAGTTCGTAGTAGTGAACGGTAGACCGGACAGTGAGTGACTGTGATGTGTGTGTATTTGTAGTGTGGCTTGATTGGTGACAGCAGGTGCGGGTGATCAGAACTCAGGTGACTGTGATCGGGTGTTTATCCGGGCTGGTGACTGCAGTGACTGTGATGAATCCCTGACAACATGAGAAATGGATATTCATTTAGATATTTGCTAAAGATTACTCGAAAAAGTGTTATTAAATTATTAGTATTTTTAAAGATTAAGTGAGTGTTAATTGACGGCATAGGTAATTTAAATGTTAAAATAAGCAAAGTGAGTATGAACAATTAAATATCCAACAATGCAGTAAATCCAAAAATATCAAACCAGTGTGGCACTGATATATCCTGCACCTCTGAAAGCAACTGAACATGCAAGATGAAGCATGAGATTTGAGAGCTGCAGCGAAGAGGCACATTTTCCATAATTAAGGACCTAAATTTCAGTCTGTGTAGTATGGCTTCAGAAGACTTGAAATATAACAAATGAGGCACATGGACTCCTTTTATGGTTCTTTTATAGTGTTCATTGATCATTATGAGCTTTCGTAGTACAAGACGAACTGCATAAACATTTCTTCTCCCGTGTTCGGCTGAAAACGGCAAATGGGCTTGGAACAACACAGAGAATGTAATAAATAATTTTGGTCACACTTTATTTTAAGGTCCAGTTCTCACTATTAACTAACTATTAACTACGACTTTTGCCTCAATAAACTTCTAATTATTACTGCTTATTGATAGTAAGGTAGTTGTTAATTTTAGGGATTGGGTAAGATTAAGGATGTAGAATATGGTCATGCCGAATAAGACATTAATATGTGCTTTATAAGTACTAATAAACAGCCAATATGCTATTAATATGCATGCTAATAAGCAACTAGTAAATAGTGAGAATTGGTCCCTATACTATATTTCTTTAATTATGTTCAATGTTAGTCTGACATTATTTTTGGAGTCTGTGTTTCCCATTTGTCTGTATTCCTCAAGAAGTATAAAGGATTGTCAGATCGCTGTGTCGCAGTTTGCAGGGGATTTTTTTTTCATGTTTTCTGTTTCATCCCAAAGAATTCCGTCCCGGCAGGCTGTCATCTCTTAGTTCAGTAATACAGATGGGAGTACATGAAGCCTATGTTAGTAATCAAACTTACTTATAAGTGGATCTAACAGACTGTTTTTCTCCAGATCTCCACTGAAGAGTCCTCCTACAGCCCCACACTGACTAACTCCCAGATCCCCCTCAAGTCTGCTCTGAAGACAGTGTCTGCAATCAGCAACACAGAGTCATTGAACAGTGTGTATATAACACTTACTCACACATGTGAACTCCTACTCATGTATGTTGTGTTGCGACCCCCTGGTATGCACCCATCTTGTGCTAATCTAATCAATCCTCTTCTGCAGGCTCTCCTAACCTCTCCTCTGGGGAACCTGTGAAGGAGCTAGTAGAGGTACGATGGCTCTCAAGGGTTTGTGGGTGATACGTGGCACTTATGTAGCTGTAGATTTTACAGGTGCCCAGAGACTGAATATGGGACGAGAGACACAAGAGGAACCATCTGCCAGACCAGCCTCACAATTAGCCTAAACATCTTGTTTGTAACTTTTTAATGTTTCAGTGCTTGTCTTAGGCTTTGTTCAGACAGGCAATATCTTTTGGTGTATTCAGCTCCCTTCTGTTTAGTTGTCTCCTGTTTAAACATTTTTGACAAATGTGACCCTGGACCACAAAACCAGTCTTAAGTCGCTGGGGTATATTTGTAGCAATAGCCAAAAATACATTGTATGGGTCAAAATTATAGATTTTTATTTTATGCCAAAAATCATTAGGACATTAAGTAAAGATCATGTTCCATGAAAATATTTTGTAAATTTCCTACCGTAAATATATAAAAACTTAATTTTTGTTTAGTAATATGCATTGTTAAGAACTTCATTTGGACAACTTTAAAGGCAATTTTCTCAATATTTAGATTTTTTTGCACCCTCAGATTCCAGATTTTCAAATAGTTGTATCTCGGCCAAATATTGTCCTATCCTAACAAACCATACATAAATGGAAAGCCTATTTATTCAACTTTCAGATAATGTATAAATCTCAATTTCGAAAAATTGACCCCTATGACTGGTTTTGTGGTCCAGGGTCACAAATGTGATTCAAAGCACATAAATATGTGGATAAAAAATCAGATGTTTGATTCCAGCCTGATCGGTCAAATCATATTTCATGTATTTTTATTCAGCATTTATGCTGCAGAATATCTGAATTCACTTGTTACACTCACATGTGTAGTTTACTATTGAATGCTGAACAGATCTGATCTGAACAGACTTAAATACAGTTTTTCTAAACTTAAATTTTTTCTAAATATTCTTTTCCAGAATTCAGATTCTTCTTAAGTTTTGTCTTTAAAATAATCTAAAACAGATTCTTAGGAAATGTTTTTGGGAATAGAAAATATTCTTAGAGAAAACAGCAGTTCAGTAGAATTTAGTACTTATAGAATGTTTTATGAACCCAGCCCCAGACTTGAAAAACAAATAGGATTTAAGTGCCGTGTGAACAAAGCCTTAGTCTGTTTCTTTGGAGTTTCACCTCATGTTCAAGTAGACTCCCACAGGACTTCTCTTATTTACATTTACATTTTACATTTAGTCATTTAGCAGACGCTTTTATCCAAAGCGACTTACAAATGAGGACAATAAAAGCAGTCAAAACTAACAAAAGAGCAACAATATATAAGTGCAAATGACAAGTCTCGGTTAGCCTAACGCAGTACACGTAGCAAGCTTAATGTAGCACTTAACGTAGCACTTATCAAGCGACATCTGTTGACCAGTGCAAAGTGAGCGTTCTGTCATTAACATGGGATTTCGGCTGCTGTATTTATTTGTTACACACCCCTTTCTGCCTTTCTCTTCGGAGGACCGATGACTCTAACAGTGTCCCTTGATAATAGTCAATGCTGAAGGTGCAGCTGTTGAGGGAGCGTTGCGTTAGAGTTACATTAACGCTTTATGCTCCTCCCTTTTCTATCTGTTCTGTCTGGAAGAGCAATGCTGGCCCCAAGGCTCCTAAGAGGAGCAGGAGGCCCAAGCGTGTGAAGATACCCATGGCGGTAAGAACGCAGCCGCAGGGACTCGTTCCGCTCGCCCACAAACACGCATCATCGGGGGTGGCAGTGGCACAGCCAATAGGGCCTTTACTCAAGAGGCCTTATTGCGTTCTGCCTGTGTGCTGTATTGATACTTCCCCTCTAGGGAACAGGGAACACGCTGACTCATGAGATGAATCATGCCATGTTATGAAGTGTATATTTATCTCTCATGGGATGAGTGCGTTTGTGTGACGCATGGTTTGGTTGAGCAGTTGTCAAGATTACGAACAGGCCCCAAATGTTTGTAAACCTACAGGCAGACGTCAGGGGATGTTGCAGTTGGACCCGTTTCTTTTGAATAAAGCTTTGCAAAGTTGATTCAAGTCCAATATTGAACTGGAGCCTTAAACTCTCCAATCAAATTAAAAACCTTTTGAAAAGCTATTCCCTGTCTTAGTTATTTATTGCCTTGGTAATGGCATCCAATCTACCTCACCCTCCCCTGGGCTGCGTTTAATGTATTGCTTAAGCTAGCTAATGCTTAGTAAAGCTTGAGCCGCTTCGGTAGATTACATTAGTATGTGTAGCTTGTCTTGTGAACTTGAGTGAATTGCATGACCGTTTGTGAGGACAAGAACGTATGAAAGGGACATTTGCGCATTTCTGTGTCTAATTGTGTGGCTTGATGTTTTCAGGATACACCTGATGTTGAAGATGACATGTCAACAGCAGAGGTATATTAAATACTATACTTACCCTTAATTATGTTATAATTGTATCGTGATTCTTGTAGTGAGTCCCACATTCTGAGGTATTTTCCATATCATTGTAAATAAAGTGTGTTCTAGAATATAAAGAGGAGTTTGAAAGTCTGATTCTGGGATTCAGAATCTTATTTAAACTCGGAAAATAACAATTTCAGAATTCTGAAACCTTCAAAAGATCCTGTTCCATTTCTAGGTGTCTAATCAGATAAGTAAATGTGTGACATTGATCATATGACTCTTTGTACATAAGGTCCGAAGTTCTTGCTTCCACTGAAGCTCAAGATGTTCTTTGCTAGACCACCAAAATGTTTTGTTGCTTATCTTTTTCACTTGTCACTTAACCTACGTTTAGGCACCTGTTTAGGACACTCAGTAACAGAGCTAGTTCTGTAGCTTCTTAAAGGGGTGGTTCATTCAAAAATCAAAATGCTATTATGATTTACTCCTTTCATTCCTTTACATTCCAAAACCTGTCTGACTGACTTTCTTCTGATGAACCCAAAAGGAGAAGTCATGAAGAATGCTCACAGCCTCACACTGTTCTCCTCCATATAAATTATAGCTTTTATGAGGAACGGACTGAAATTTAAGACATTATTCACTGAAAATTTGACCTTGAAAATCACACTTGACAGGCGTAGTCAATACTCACTGTCACTGTATGAAAAAGAGCATAGTATTCTGCAATAAATATCTTCTTTTGTGTTCGATTAAAGGAAGAAAGTCGTACAGGTTTGAAATGACATTGGGGTGAGCAAATGATGACTTAGCATTTTTGCTTGAATTATTGCTTTAATATTTAATGGACTGCTTATGGACAGGATTATCTTATGATCTTGCATAAATAGTATAAAACCTAATAATTGCCCCTGTCAGTTTACATTAAATTTGTTTTTGGAACTTTTAATAGTTTTACCTTTTTTTAAAAATGGTATTTTTCAGATAGCAGAGTGGGAGGAGCAACAGTTGGATGAGGCTGTTAATTTCAACAACTGTAAAATAGACCCTGCACCCTTTCAACTGGTGGAACGGACATCTTTGCATAAGGTAAAAGATTTGCTGTATCTGCCAAGCACAGAGCGCTGCAGTGATAACGTATTTTTGTGTTTACTTCACCCTAGTTCCCTTGACAAAAACCCAATAGGATTTTTCCATTGGCTTTTGGGTTATTGCAGAAAATAAGCTCTGTGACCAACAAACCTTTACGATTCTTACACATTTTGTTCAAGTTAATCTTCACAAATTAACACAAGTTTTATGAATTTTGAAGCCTAAATACAATCCCCAGAAATGAAAAGCTAAATGTAGGCTGTAAACAAACTACGCCACAGTCACATGACTTCAATGTCACTACCATTAAGCTTCTGACAACTCTTTCAGTATTTATTTTTAAAAAAAAAATCCCTGAAAGTTTAAGTTAGAATGGTTTGCAAGAGTGTGATTATTTAACACAATGAGGCTGTAAAAACAGACTAGTGAGTAGACAATCTCTGTAGTCCCATTAAGTAATACTGATGTATTTTACAGTATGTCATAGAATAAAACGTGAAAAATATCCTGAGCATTCAAAAAAACATTGACTTGTCTTGGGGAAAATGAAGTAAAGGAAACGGAAGTACAAAAATGCTTGTTTCTGGGTTTAGGCCTACAAAAATATGTCATCCCTACAGCAATCTATTATTCGGCCATATAAAATGACAAAAAAAAAATCATAAAAGTAGCGCAAATCATTTGTACGATATTTTCTGAAGCCGCATGGCAGATTTTTGTTAGGAACAGACTGTATTGTAAGCTATATAAAGTCATATGGAAAAGGTAACACAGGTTAGGGACCAATTCTCACTATTAACTAGTTGCTGATTAGCATGCATATTACCAGCATATTGGCTGTTTATTAGTACTTGTAAAGCACATATTAATGCCTTATTCTGCATGACCATATTTTAGATTCGTTACCCTACCCCATACCTAAACTTAACAACTACCTTACTAACTATTAACTATTAAGGCAAATGTTGTAGTTAATAGTTAGTTAATAGTGAGAAATGGTCCCCAAACTAAAGTGTGACAGGCCAGTTTTATTATCACAGTTACCCTTTAATGAAACATGAATGTCAGTCCTTATCACTGTTCCTTTTGTTCAGACACACACCATTTTCTCACTACTTGGTCTGGATCATGCCTATGTCACCAGCACCGGATGTCTAGTAGGAGTGGTCTCTCTAAAGGAGGTGTGTGATTGTATTCTTTTATTAGCTCTTCTTTATAGCAGAAAAACACATTTAAAAAAAATGTTCTGTTTATAGTTGCGTAAGGCCATCGAGGGCTCTGTAACTGTGACCGGAGTGAAAGTCCGTCCCCCGCTGGCCAGCTTCCGTGACAGCGGCAACAACAGCAGCGTCTCAGAGGTCACTGAGCTCCACAAGCTCTGGAGTCGTAACAGGAGCCTGTTGTTGCCACGGGAACCTAACCTCCCAGACCTGGATGACCAAACGGAGCAGCCGTCCGAGGGCAGCTTGGTGAACGAGACCGAGTGCACAGAGCTGTCCAGTCACAACACACCATTACACACAGACGACCAATCAGAGCTGCCCTACGCCGAGGCCACGCCCCAAGAGGAGCACCTAACGCAGCTCCCCTGTGACTGTACCCACCCTCTGGAGGACGGAGGCTCAGAGGCCGTCAGCGAGCAGTGCCCAGCTCCGATCAAGGAAGCGGTGAGCGAGGGAATCCCCTCGCCGCCAGAGGGTCAGCAGGAATGACAGCTGCTTGCGGTCGGTAACACACACTCCATTTACACCATAAGCGGGATTGTGAAGTCAGGTTGAGGAGAAACTGGAGGAAGTCTTTAAGCAGTGAAGCACACTCTCTTCTCCGCACTAATCAAATCATCCCTAATCGCTGGTCCTGCCTTTACATGAAACACGCCGTGTGTGTTTGTATGTGTGGGATGTCATAGATACGCACTGCAGTATGAGTGCCGCGTGGCTTGGGATGTGTTTGACGATGGCTCATGAGCGATCGTCTGTTTGTACTTGTGTATTTGTCATAAATTTGGGTGTCTGTTGATTTGTGGCTTCATAGCGCATTTCTGTGTTGATTTATGTTGATGAAATTCATTTTAAGAAGTTTATTTTCGATGATGTCACGGCGGGTTTTCATCATAAACGTGTTTGTTCGTTGATTTGTGGCTTCATGGCGTGCGCGTGTGTGTGTTTCTTCGTCCTCGCGCAAGCGACAGAGTGCGTAAGAAAAGCCGAGTATGTGTGCAAGAGTGACTCCTAGCCAACGCACCCATCTGGTGCCGACACTTTAAATCCAAATAAAATGGTCTCTGAGAGCCAAACTACAATTTTGCTCTAAATATAGCCCTTAATAGCCCACACTGCAAGGAAACATGGAGAGAAAGAGCGGGGGGAAAGAAGGGGAACGGGTGGGCAAAAGGACACAGAAGACATGGAGAGAACAAGAACATGATGCAAAATGAGCGAAAAACAGGAAGGATACATGAACACGAGTCGTGGAAAGGCAGGAGAATGAATGGGAGAGTGGGGTAAACTGTGCCGCTTTTTACTTAAGGTCGTCAACTAGGCAAGAAGAAATAAGCAATCAGGGAAATGAATATGCCTGATTATATTTCAGAATACATAGGGGCACAGAAATATGACTTTTTAAGAAAAATGGTCGAGTGACACAACTTACCCCACTTTAGGGGAAAGATGTGTTATGAATGTTGAGCCATTAGGGAATATTTTAACTATTTATTTCAGGTAAAATATGAACACTTAATGAACATGAATCTTATTTCAAAGTCTTATTTTGATGCACAATATTCACATTTTCATAAGCCAACTAGAAAAATCCAGTGCATTTGCATTTTATGATATGATATGAGTATTTGTTTTTTCCTGCATTTGGAGGCAAAACTCATCCTCACTATGTGCCACTGTCACATTTTACCCTGAAGCACCTGACACACTTTACCCAAAAGCTAACATTTTGGGGAAAACAAAATATTCATTTCTAATTCATTGCTAAATTTATTTATTTATTCAAGATGTGATTTGATAATGCATAGCATCTTTGGCATGGATACATTTGTTTTGACATCAAACTCATTTTACCTGCCATGCAGAAAATTTACTTTGACAAGCATTTTTTTAACACACAAAAAAAATTGCTTATGTGAATCACAGGCAGCTGAATACAATGGCCATTTTTTTAAAACATGGTCATTTGACAAAAATCATCCAGTTTGCTAGATTACAGGGGTGGCGCATCTTACCCCACTCTCCCCTCCAAAACCAACAGTGACTCATAAAGAGGAGTTTCCAACCAGGGTAGTTTTGAAGCACATTGTAATTATCATTCAAACAAAACACAGCAATACACAAGCGTTTTCCATACTGACAGCATGGGGGAAAAAAATTAAATGTGAAAAACGCTTTAACAAATCATCGTTGAGCACACCATTTGGATGGTGTTGCCTGTAATTACGTCAAACAAAACACAGCAATACACAAGCGTTTTCCATACTGACAGCATGGGGGAAAAAATTTAATGTGAAAAACGCTTTAACAAATCATCGTTGAGCACACCATTTGGATGGTGTTGCCTGTAATTACAAGTAATGATATCCCACATTATGTAGGCACGTTAAGCATGCGCAGATCTGTATCAGGACCAGTGGGTAGCATAGCTGCCTGGCCATTTAAAATATATTAAAGCATCTTCCTTAGAAGCTCAAAATACTCTGAGACTCCACGTGGAGAAACGGAGCCTCTTAAATTCTTAATTATATGCATGAACCCCGATGCAATCATTTGCATGCTCACACACTCGCATAAACAATACGCATCATATTGCTTTCCAGCCAGCTTAAATACAGCCATTTAAAAAAACTGCATAGGCCTGTTTCATGTTACCTCATCGGGTTTACTTGCATGGCCTTTTGCTTTTTAATTCAAGGCCAGATTTGTTCAGAAATCCAGAGCGCAATATTTTTCGCACATGCTCACAACACGTCACAGACTACGATGACAGTTTAGATTGAGTGAAGTTTTCGACTGTGGTAGAACCGCAAGAACCAGCCTTTGTATAAATACCATTGCAGGGAATTTGTGGTCACTGTGCAGATCTCATCCAGCAATCATCAAAGTATTAAAATGTAATTCATTACAATGATGGATTCTGTGTACCTGCAATCTGAATTGTTTTACATATGAGCAAAGCTTTTACCATTTGATTTTGAGCTGTCAACTGTGCAATAATGTCGTATAAGAATTACTGCTTGCCAAATAGGGTTATTTTACTGAACACTGGCCCTATTGCTACAGTGCATATTATTTTGAAACTGTTTGCAATCATGCACATCATGGACATGTACTGGAACAAACGGACAAGTCTGTTTGCAGTTAATATTTTTAAATGCCTTCAGATTTCGTTTTCACAACTTACAACGTGTTTACTGGACCTCGGCGGTGGAGTTTTCACAAGTTTCAGCCTGAGGATGATGTAATGTTCTGTTTGCATCTAAACTGTGGCTGAACGACGCTATGCAGTATGGTCAAGAACAGCACAACTACCCCAGACACAGCCTAAGCAGAGCTAAACGGAGAATGAGTTACGTTTCTTTTTCTTGTGCACTGCAGAATTGGGAGGCTACGGGTTTGATTTAAACGGATCAAGGCAAGTGGACCAAACCATAACCGTGAGACTGACTTCCTGACACAGCCTTTTCTCATTTTCTCAGAAACGGCTGTTATGAGTTCTGCGAGCCACTAGAGCGAAATTCATCCGGCTGCACTAATCAGCTGTTTTATTAACGTTTGTTATGAAAGCAAATCCTGATGTGGGACAGGAATAACTTAAAAGGGTTAGTTCACTCAAAAATGAAAATTAGGCTGTTTTACACTCACCCCCGAGGCATCCTAGGTGTATATGACTTTCTTCTTTCAGACGAATCCAGTCGGAGTTATATTAGACTCACCGGCGCATGCGCAACGCTGAACTCATACGTCATCAGCCGGAGCTGCTTCCGTGTACAGCTGTTGGCGTAAGCTACATTAAAGTGATTATTACGTTTTGAATATGGATATTTTTCTTACAAAAAATGCATCGATTCGCTACAGGAGGCCTTTGTTCACCCCCCGGAGCCGTGTGAGACACTTTTTTTTTAATGGATGGGCGCTTTTTATTTCACTTCTTTGGGACTGAAGCACTGCAACACCCACTGACTGCAATGATAGAGCTTGGAATAGCCAGGACAATTTTTAATCTAACTCCGACTGGATTCGTCTGAAAGAAGAAAGTCATATACACCTAGGATGCCTCTGGGGTGAGTAAAACACAGCCTAATTTTCATTTTTTGGTGAACTAACCCTTTAAGCTAATAATGATCTTTAGATATGTTGTGTCACGTTTTGTCTCTGTTTGCTTGTGCAGTTTAAGTCAAGCCCACGGTGTGTAAAGTGTCTGCTAATATGCCGCACATTAAGTGTAGAGTTAAGCAATAAGTCTGCTCCCATATCCGTAAATGGTTTTTATAAATCATTTGCTTGTACAGAATGCAGGGTAAAGCGGTATGTATATGAATTCTACTCACATACCCTGTACATATAGATAAGCATATTGAATCAGCTGTTACCATTATTTTTCAGAAAACATTCAATTGTTTTGTACATCAGTAAATATTAAATTTCAACTTTAAAGCTTTCGGTTTTATGCAACTCATTTTTTGTGGTAAATACTGTGTTGTATAGTTATGCTGGAATAATTTTTTTTTTAAACCTTTAAGTATTTTTGTCTTGTTTTCCGGTAAAATATAGAAACACCCTCAAATAAAATGTACCCATAAAGTAAATGAGAATTAAATGATTTTATATATATATATATATACACACACAGTACTCACATCTTATTTCATTTTTCTTACATAAATATTAGGGATGATATTTTTACTGGAAAACCTGACAAAATTACTCAAGAAAATGTGTTTTTGCAGAAGACGCAGTGAAACATATGAATATACACATAACTTTAATGCAATCATAATTCTCACATTTGACCGCAAGACATTTTCTGTACAAACAATTAAAAAAAACTTTTTTGTGGGGGGATTCACACATTCACATCAATGAACATCATGACATTACCGGTCCATATTGAGAATAATGATGATATAACGTGGTTGGTTATGAATTGAACACTGCCCTTCCCCATGCTTCTGCAATGAATGAATGCGGTTTGGAAAGGCAACATATTCTTTCTGTCAACTGTTTTACTGTAGCTGCATGTCAAGGTTGTATTAATTGGTAGCTTCAAAAAAACCTGTTCATTCAGCAGCCAATCACAAATCAAATATCTACTGAAGTGCAGATGGGAGGGAAAAGATGGCAGAATGGAAAGAAAAAACATGGTAGAGGATTCTCACTCAGTTTGGTATAGAAGCCCATTTCTGCCACAAAAGAAAACAAAATCATGCTTTGGCAATCATGACATAAAAAGTAATGATTATGGTGTGAGATTATGAGATAAAAAGTCAAAATTAAGAGATAAAAAGACAAAATTATGACAGGAACATTTACTTCATCTCAAATGACTTTTCTTGTAATTATGTCTTTTTGTCAAATTCAACTTTTCATCTCATAAATGACATCACAATTATGAATTTTTACCCAATAATTTAGACTTTTTTGTCTATTTTAATTTAGTAAGTCATTATATTGCAATTTTGACTTTTCATGAATGATCTTCAACTTAGAATATCATAATTATGATTTTTTTTTATTTCAGAATTTTGACTTCATTTCATAACTTTTTGTCATAATTATGACTGTCATAATTTATACTTTTCATTGTATAAATGACAATTTATGACAACACATTGTTATAATTTCGACTTTTATGTAATGATTATGACATTTTTATGTCATGATGAAATACCAAAGCATGATTTTTTTTTTCTCATGTGTCGGAAATGGGCTTCCATAGTTTGGTAATATACATCACACAGTGATCATAATAACAGGCACATTCTATTCATAGTCACAACGCTCCATCAAAGCAGGACCCTCCTGCACCGCAACCCTTCTGGAGCAAGCCGAGACACACAAGCACTTGCAGCGTGACATCTAAACCCAGACAAACTGAACAACTGGGCTTTTTCTGTCCCTCACGATCCTGCAGAATTAACAACATTTTACTATGAGCATCACGTCACTTTTGAACAGTCACAAAAGGAAAAGCTCACAGAGATATTCCAGTCTCTTGACGTGTCGTCACAGATGACAAACAGCAAGGCTGCTGAATACACCGAGATCGCAGGTAATGAGCATCACGTCATCAGAATGTCACTCTCATCCTACTCGCCACTGGAATGAGGAAACAGTGCAGTGGTTTCTTGGACGCTAATTTCAAATGAAGAACATGTAGATCAAGAGGAAGCAGGGATAGAGAGGAGGAGATTAGAGGAGTAGTTCTCTCAAAAATGGAAATCCTGCCTTCAGTTACTCGATCTTTCACTGTGAAACACTGAAGTTGTGATGAATGTTCATGCTGCTCTTTTCCTTACAATGGAAGTTTATAGGCTACCTGAGATGAAAAGGAATGAATGAAAGTGAAACTTTAAATAAGCACCATTAAAGTATCATAAGTGATCCACATGACTTATGCACTATATTTTTAGTGTTCTGAAGTCATACTATCAATTTGTTTGGCTAAAATTTCATTATCATTCTTGCTTGAGAGCCATTCACTTTCACTGTTTGGAAAAGAGCAGCTCGCATCAGGGTTATTATCGTTAACTAAAACTAAAAAGTTTCAGTATAAGTAAGTCTAAAAAAGTTACTTATTTTATTTCTAGTTGCCAAGGCAAGATTTCTCATTTTCATTCATTTTAGTCAAAACTTGGTTAAAATTGAGTCAGAAGTTTAAGGGAAAAGAACTAAAAATTAAATAAAACTTAAAAACTACATGTACATATTTTAAAAAACAATTATAATAAAAACGACAAACAACAAAATTAATAAAACCTAAAAATTTAAATATAAAAAAAATCGAAACTATTAACAAAATTATAATAGTATATCAATGATACTAAAATAACACTGGTTTGCACATTTTAGTATCAAAGAGATACTATTATACTGTTGTTTTTATTAATATTTTGAATCAGTTTTTATTTAAAAGTTTCCATTTTAATTTGAGCTAAATTTGTAATATTTTTGTAGGGTTTTTTTTAATAGTTTTTCATTTTTATTGTTGTCTATAGTTTTTATTAATTTTTATATCATTTTATATTTTTCTTTTTTTTTAGTACATCAAGGTAAACTAAAATGAGAAATTATTATTTCAGTTAACATTTATCTCAAGTTGGTCAAATATGGTTTTAACTTTAGCTTCAGTTTCAGTTAACTATAATAACCCTGATTCTGCCTAACATTATTTGTGTTCCACAGAAGAAGGAA